GTTCCTTCCCCCTTTACTTTTGTTGTCCCTCCATTTGTACTTTGGAGTTTTTCTCATGTAAATTTGTACAATGGGAAATATTGTCCAGTTTGGTTAGAGAGCATGGAGACTTAAAACATATTAAAATTTGATAGCTGAATTCAGATTGAAGAAAACTATTTCTGTGTAAAGTTATTTAAAGAACTCTGTATTATATGAAAGGCAAAAAGTTCTATGTACTTGATGTGAATATGAGAATACTGCTATAATAAAGATTGACTGCATGGAAAAGTCTGAAGTGGATTGTTTATTGTGTCATGTTCAACTCCTCCTCTCCATGAAGTTGGAGAGGTGCAACTAAGGTAGTTAAGGGGAGTGAAAAAGTTACTCTAGGATGTAACTCTGGAAGGGAAAGAGAAGGAAAACAATAAAATCAAGGGATGCCACCTCCCTTCAGCTGGACCACTGCCCTCTTAACTGCTGGGCTGAGTCCTAAGGCATTTTTACCTTTGCAAAGGGTTTTGCTTCACAAGGATTTTTCTGGACTTTTATGTATTCAAGGGCGATTCCCCATCACCCTGGGGAAAGCCTGGCACCAGCTGGTCTGGGTTCTCTTCTGGGTAAATTCCCCTGCTTCTGTGGCAACTCCCCTTCACCCTTTTATTGGTTATTTGACAGAGCTTTAATGATAAGACTGTTACCTACTATGCACTCACAGACCTTATTTCTTGGGGCCAACACATTCTCTATCACGCAGACATTACAGAAGCTCACATGGACTCAAGTACCCCACCTCTGAAGCCGCAGTGGTCACTCTCCAGAAATTCTACTAAAAAAAAATACAATTTAGCTGAGACTTTGTTTACAGTTTTATTGAAATAAGGACCCAGGAGCCAAAACTTTGGTTCCAAGAGCCTCATTAGTTCCAGGGACCTGAAAGTAACAGAAGAGAATCCTGAGAACCTTTTCACCCATCCTTTTCCCACCACGAAGAGTATAAGGACCCCCTCAACAGTGCCCATGCTGCCTTTGGCAGTAGTTGAAGCTGTTGGTTTTAGAGCTGTAATACGTGACGCAACAGCTTAAAAGACAGGGTAATTAAAGAACTGGAAACAAGCAAAAGCCTCAAATCTTTAAGGGGACATCTGGACAGATCTCCCTATAAACACAGAGAGCATGCCCTCAAGGTTAGGTAATGCAGGGTCTACAGAACAGCTTAAAGAAAATAATTTTGAACTGGTACCAGCTAAGGTACAACCCATAAAAAACCAAGTTGTTACACTGCAGGTCTCGAGCACTCGGGCACCTAAGACAAGGCAGCGATGAGCAGTGCAAACACCTGTGCCCTGTACAACAGAAACTAGGCACGTTTACACCTCGGGCAAACACTTCCAGCAGTATTCCTACAGCAGTGCTCGAATACTCGCTGAGAGCAGGGCACCTCTGGCGATGCCAGCAGGAGGCGGAGCCGGGCACGGTGCCCCGGGGCTGCACCGCAGCTCCGAAGGCAAAGCCCAGCCCGGGGCCGTGCGGGGGCGAGCGGTAGCCACTCCGAGTGCTTGCCGCTCCCCCCGGCTGGACGCGCCTTATTCCTCGGTCGTCCGAGAATCCCGAGCTCCGTGTCACGTCCAGGCACAGCGTCGGATACGGAAGTGTCCCTGGGTAGGAGAGGCCGGTCAGTAGCGGGGCCGGGTCCCTACCCCGGCTCTCGCCCCCGCAGGCCGCCACGCCGGACTCACCAGCACCTTCCGAGCTGTGCCAGAATGCCAGGGGTATCCAGAACCACATGTAGGCCGCTGAGAGCTCGCTTCGGTATCACCGCGCCCGCGTCAGCTCCGGTGACCTGCCGGTTACCGCGGCCGATGTGTACCCCGCCGCCGCCCGCGCGTGCAGCCACCACGCAGGGCCCCGCTCTCAGTAAGCCGCACGCCGTCAGCAACCCCCCCTCGAGCCCGCCCCGCTCCCCCGCACCCCAAAAACCCGCCCCGCCCCCCTGCCCGCCCCGCTCACCCGCCGCCGCCCGGCGCGGCCACCCCGGCCCGCAGCAGCCGCGCGCCGCCGCCCGGCCAGCTGCCGCCACCACATGTCCGCCGCCAATGTCACCCGCACGGCCCAGCAAACAGGCCGCGCCCATTGGCAGCCGGCCCGCCGCCTTTCGGGGCGGGACAGCCGGGCGGGGACATCCCGGGCTTCGGAACACCCCCGGCGCGACTCCGCGGGCACGGGGTATCGCGCCACTGTCCCCGCACCACCTTTGCCACGGCACTCGGAGCGGCGCACTAACGGGGGCTGCCCGTGAGTCCCAGAAGTTGCCGTCGCCCGATCGGAGGTCGACGACGGGAGACTTCCCCGGCCAAAGTCGCGCTTTTGGCGCTTCTTCGGGAGAGAAGCGGCGCCGGCTTGCTGGTCTCTAAGAAGGGGCTGAAAAGAGTCAGGCGCCGTGTGTCATCCCTGGGCTCCCGAGTGTCCAGCCCGCGGAGTGCGGTTGCGTAGCAACGGGGCACGCGCGCGGTGTGTCCCGCCCTGGCGGGGCCGGGATGCGGGGATTCACTCTCGGTGTCGGGATGTAGCCTGAAGCGTTCCTGAAGGGGCGATAGCCCTGAAGGAGCACCAGGTGCGGAGCCTCTTCCCGCCCCGTGGCCCGGCAGTGGGAGCGCAGAGGCGATTTCCGGGGCTCCTCAGCACAGATACACCTAATAAAGAATTCCCACCTGTCCCGCCTCAGCGAAGGTCTGCGCGTGTGAGGGGCTTTTGTTGTTCTTTCCTCTTTTCCCCTTCCCACAGGTGTTGCAGTGGTCAGTGCTCACTCGGCAGCGTCCCTGGAGCTGCAGCCTGGGTTCGATCCCTGTGCCTTTGGAACGTGGCATTGGAAGAACCAGCCTGCCGGTGGGTGTATCTACTGGAGGTCCGTTGGGTGAATCTGGTTGGAGGAATTCTGCCAACTTCTTGTGGAGAACCAGTTTCATTCAGTAGTACGTGTGGTATGCCTCCTGGGACATCCAGGTGATCCCCAAAGAAGCAAAAAATAATGGAGAAAGTAGCCAGACTATCAGAGGGGTCCTTTCAAGGAATCAGACTCCCCCCTACTCCTCCTGACAAGGTATGCTGCTAATGTAAGATTGGTCCATACTTGTTAGTTCCTCCTGAATCTTTACTGGATGATGTTTAACAAAGGTGAACTGGGGAAGAGTTTCTGTGACCCTCTGAAAGAGTAACTTTGTTTTACCTGGCAGCTTGTGAACAGAGGAGTCTGTGGATAAAGATTTTAAATAGGTTTGGCATCTCTGTGCCAGGCTGCACCTGACATCCCAAGTTGGCATATCCAGCCTTCCAGTTGGATATTACCTGTACCCTGAATCCCTGCTTGGGAGGAAAGACAGTGCTTTGTGTAGCCCCTGAGCAAAAGGCATCGTTGCCAACACTTGGAGTCAAATTTGGGTATATCTTGCTCTGGCTCCATTTACTTTTACAGGGAAAGATTTGCCTGTGAAGTGATTTCATTGAACTTTACAGACCAGCACTTGAAAGGACGTGTTTCTGACAAGTGCAGGGTGAAGGTCCCAAGGAAAGAACAAATGCCTCACTCAGGTTTTCCATTTTCCTTGCTAGTGACTGTACAGCTTTGCCTACAGCCAGTGGGCCTCGATTCACAGATTTTGGTGTTGTTTTATCCTTCACCTTGAGTGAAGGATATCAAATACTGTATTTTAAATAAGTAATATGATCTCATTTTGTTAACATCCCAAACAGCTGACATCCTCAGCTGAAACAGCAGTGGACATCTTTGTAGTTAAACAATTTTAATTTCCTTGCTCATCTGAGCCTCAGAACAGCCCTAATGCACTTTCAGCAACAGTTAACAGAGCAAACTGTTCAATCTTTGTTTTTACTTAACATGTGATCAATGCAAAAACGTGCTGCAACATGCTCCATACCAAGTTTATGTTTTTCCATAAAAGCTGAACGCTTTGATATAAGGTTCATAGTTTTATTGTCAACTCTACCTTCCAACTGCCTCATATTTTGTCTTTCTGCCTTCTCATTGTCCCTGGCATGTTGTTCCCTGTGTCACCATTCTCAAAGGTTTCGTGGTTTTCATCTTGCTCGGGCCAGATGTCTCCACTGCTGCCTTTGACCTGCAGAGGCATCTTTGTCTCCCCAGACTCAACCCCCACCTCCTTCATTCTTCTTTGACTTCAGGTCCTTTCACTGACCTTTCAGCTCTTGCTGGCTTGGGGAGCTTGGACAGCTGCAATGCACACGTGGCTACTGCTGCCCACGCTGCTGTTGGAGAGCCGGGGCAGAGGGCCTGGGAGGGAGCCAGCAAAATCGATGTGCCTGCATTGCTGAGGAGTACCTGCTCCTGGGGATGGGAGAGGCAGCTCCAGGACCCCCACCCTCCCTCTCTTCTGCTGCCTGTCTCCGAGCTGTGCCTTGTCCTGAGAAATGGGTGTCTTTTCCAGGTTCAAAGCTCTTTACTAAAATCAGTTAACTAAAAGGTGTAAAGGTTAGTAAGAAAGTAAAGCTATTCCGATTTAAGAATTGTAAGAAAGTAAAACTATTCTGATGCAGGAATTGCATACCTAGTGCCCCCTTCACAGTAGAATAAGACTGTTATAGGATCTGAGATGGGCCAAAATGGACACCTACAATAGTGTCCTTGAAATGACACGTTGTCCTTTGAACAGTATATCTCATACTGACTGAAGAAACAGTGATACCCCTGCTACATACCTAGCAGATGATTAGAAACCAGGTGCAACACAAGGGGGGGGGTTATCATATAGTTCTTATGTTTTATTTTTTAATATTTCTTCTTTCCAAAATTGATTTCTCAAAATCAAAACCATTTGTGGTGAACTTACAGATAAGCAGCATAGTACTACAAGATATGGTGGAAGAATTATAGAGAGAAGTAATGTACTGAAAGTAAACTTTATGAACAATATTCCAGTTTAAGGATGTAAGTGTTCAAAAATCATGCTCATTTTCTGCTTCCATCTCCTCCTTCCCCCTTCCAGGTAAGCTCCAGGTCCATCTCACATGTCCAGTGTTGTCACACTAATAAAGATTCCCATGGCTCTCTGCTGCCAAGATGTCCAATGACATAGTAAGTTCAAAATCTGTAGATGAGCTACTGGAAAAGCAGAGAAGAGAAAAACTGGGAATCAAAGACAGTTATTGCAGGGTGAGGGGTGTGCTCCATATTGATTTAGTTTGTTTTTACTGCAGTAAGTTACAGAAGTTCTGTTGCCAAGGTCTTTATTACTTCTTGTATTTTTGTTTTCCACAGCCTTCCTGTTTGCACATGGAACCCAGGTCCTCTTTGTGCACCCTTGATATCCTCAGCAAAGAGTAATTTCATTGATTCATCCCCAGAGGTGTCCAGTTTAGTGAGGGGGGCTCGTGTGTTGGCAAGGAGAGAAACTGATGGCTATTACTACCTGGGCCACATTGCCCAAGAGGTGAAGGTAACTATTTATTGGGAACTGTGCTGCAAGGACATCTGTGGGTTTTTTCCCTATTGTCCTCATTCCTCACCAGTCACGTGCCCTTGTTGTGGGGTGGCTCTCCTGTGATACAGTGCACTTCACAACCACTGTTGTCTCCTCACATCCTATTTTAATCTGTTACCTGATCACCTGATGCTGACTGGCTGTTTACTGTGAGAAACCCTGCAAGGAAAAGGAGCCTGGAGATCAATCCATTTTTGTAGTTATAATAAGGTTTTATTCAGAAACAAACAGAACAGGTCCCTTATCCCTATTGTCTACTTTTGCCCAGTTAGCAGCAAAGTCAGTTAGCTAAATAGCAACTAGTAATCCAAAATGTCTGTCTCCAGGCTTCACTTCCTCTTTACCAAACTGAGAGCTTTCCTCATTCTCTCCCATCTATCTTTTGGAAATTGCGGGGTGATTTTGGATGCCAGACAGAAAATTGCCCTGCAGGCTTTCTTTTAAAACCCAGTTCATTTTGCTGTTTGCAGGTTATTTAACTGAACTTTGATGCTAGTGTAGGTGAGGATGTCTGTAAGCTCCAGTGTGGGGTGGAACAGATGGGGACAGTTACAGGCACGAGTGGCATGACTGGAGTAGGAGCTGAAAGTATTATTTGAGTAAGTGCACTCACAGATCTGCAGACAAGGCTGAGATTTCAGTAATAGATCTTCCCCACACCCACTGCTGAAGGCTTAAATTAAAACATTTCAATTTTTGACAGTTGTGATATTTTACTGGTTTGTTACCCTTCTGATTGCTATGTTGACAACTGCATCATGCACAGCAATTTCTTTTGGCTACTCATTTTCTTATGGGAGGTTTTCCTGGTAAAGTTCTGCCTTAGCACGCTAGTTGTGTTCTTACTGAAATCTAAATCCAAAGGAAGAGAAAGGCTGTCAGCCCCTTTAACCCCAGCGTTTTATTTACTTTTAAATCCAATATGGACGCAGTGCAGTGAAAAATCTGGTAGAAGAGGAAAGCTGCATTTCAGATCACGTCCTGCTTCCCGGGATTACTGCCACTTCCCTCTTAGCACTTGATGTTTGGCCGTTAATTGGACCCAGATGTCTGCCTTGCAAACCGCATGTTCTACTCTTGTAGGGCTCCAGGGAACGCTTTGTAATTGAGTTTGACAAAAGTCGTGCTCGAAAAGGCAAGGTACAGCTCCGCCTGCAGGAAACGCCTCTCTACGACATTCTCCACTACGAGGATGCCAGGAGACGGCGTCTCGCTCCGGGAGACAGGGTCTTGGCACCGTGGGAGGCTAGAGCTGAACGTTTTGGCCCCGGCACTGTGCTGAAGGTTGTGGAGAGCAAGGAGGCACATTTAGGTGCGGGGTGTTCTGGTTTTCTTCGTAGCGCTGGACTCACCACGGGGGCTGGTCACTGTACGGCAAAGGGAACAGTCTCCATCCCGGAGAGTTCCCCACCTGCTGCTTGGGTTCTCTTTGCTATATTCGTGTTGTTGACACTAAGCAGCCTTTTCTTCAGTGTCCGAATTAATGCAGCTCCTAGAATGTGTGTTTGCTTTGTTCTGTAACTGAAAACTTCCTAAAATATTGGGGGTTGGGCAACACAAAGCAAAAAATGTTCCTGGCCCTCATGAGTATTCACCTGATTATCTGTTAGTCTAGTTTCCTGCTATTTTAGGGTAAAATCCTGCCTCACTGTGACAAGTGAGAATTTTGTTATCTCCTGTCTCCTCATAGGAAGTTCAAAAGAAGGTCAGATTTTAAACCTATAAAGAAAAAATATCATAGAAGTTGTTACAAAATTATCTGAAACATGAGTCATTACTGCTTTCTGCTGCTAATACATTATTTGCCTTTTTGTTTTTGTTTTTGATAAGCACAGCACGCAACAGAAGTGGAGTGCTTGTGAATTTCTGGAATGGGCAGACCAAGGAGGTGTCTTCTGACCAAGCTCTGCAGATTCCTCTGCCCTTAAGCGAACGCATCATCCTAGAACTGCAGATGCCTTTAGCAGCCAGGCAGATGGTGGTAGATTCAAGCTTACATTACCCATACATTGTGACACCGGGTTACAGAGCCTCAGGCCACTACAGACTGGGTCACTCAGACCTGGACTGCTGGCCAGGGGGTCTGTACTCAGCTCATCTGTGTGCTAAGTGCAGCTGGGAGTGTCCCTCGCTCCCCCGGTGCTGCCTGGCAGCCTGGGAACCCACACGGCCTGTAGGGTGCAAAGTGCAGCAGGAAAATGCCTTCATCCCAGGAACAGGCTTGGCTGAAGAAGTACCCAGCAAGAAAATAGAAGAGGAACTGTCTGAATTGAGAATTACATCTTCAGAAAGTGTTTCCAGAGAGGAAGAGAAAAAGGAAGAGAAGAGATTAGAGACAGAAAATGTTCCAAAAGACGTTTGGTCTTGTTTGGAAGAGGACAGTGAGTTTATAGAACCTAAGAAGGTAAAAAATGTTTCACTCTGGCTTTTCTGTCACTATGTGGTCTGCTATTTTTATAAATTTGCTTTGTTACTTGAAGTTTACTGCCCTTGGTACCAAAAACTTAATAGAGGTTTTAGGCCTGGCCCCTATATATGCCTGCTAAAGAATGGAGAGACTTTGCACTGTCTTCCTGATCCCTTGACCGGGGAAAGAGTTATAAGCTGTCATTGTCCCTGGCTGGAGCAGGCTTCTAGAATCTCTTCCATGGATGCAGAATATAAGAAGTGTTGCATAGCCCAGTTTCTCTACATCCTGCTTCTGTATGAAGGAGGTAAAGGCAGAAAAAAGTGTCAGACAGAAGACTTGGCTCTGGATAAGGATTAAAGTAAGGGTTGCTCCACACCAAGACAGTCTCTTACATAATTCTATTAAGGTACTTCTCCACCCTGTTAGATGTGTCCCCTCTCTCAATCAAAGACCATAAGAGGCTTAAGTTATCCTCAGCAGTTGACTTGGTGCTTGTGAACAGGGCGAGGATCAGTAAGGAGGAGGTACATGTGCACCAGCTACTGCCAAGCTCATCTCTGCAAGGGTTAGAATCCTGATTTCTGGCAGGTGCCAGAAACAGGACTGTCTTTCAGCCAGAGGTCCTCTGGCCTGATCTCTTTTTTACCAGTTTGGACCCTTCCAAGCAGAAGTACTGCCAGTTTTAGGTCATTTGGAGGTGTAGACAAACCCACGAAGTGATCAGAAATTACTCTACCTAAGAGTTGTTTCTTTAGTAAAGAACTCCCCCAGGGTCTGTCTTTTTTGATTTTCTTAAACTTCAGTTACAACTTAGAATCTTCTGCTGCAAGTTCATGAAACTAACCTATTCTTTTCCTTATCAGGTCTGGATTATGAATGCATTTCTTGTTATTTCTAGGGTGCTCAGAGGGAGATGGCTCATGCTATGGTTGATACTGCTGTTAACACAGACAGCTGGTTAATGGAGACAGATCACAAGGAGGAACCAGAGAGCAGGCAGCAGGATGCTGAAACTGAAGCTAATTTTAAACACCAGCATGGTAGTGGAACTGTAGCTCTTTTACCCAAATGTAACACTTGCCACACAATATCGCTGCAGCAGGTCATGGTGTCTAAGATCCGTTGCCATAAATCTTGATGCTTCAAAAGGAAATGCCATAATGCCATGCTGTGACTATGGCCATCATTATGTAGTATATTTATATGTAGGTATTAATAGTGCTTTAGCTTGAGAAGTTGTTCATCATCTCAAGGTGAAAGAATTTTCAGATGGAAATCAGGTTTTTTTGGCTTTTACAGCTACTGCACTAGCAGCTTTTGGGTTTTCTTAAACTTTATCATAACACCCAGAATAAATACTATTTATTATAAAATTTCTTTACTTTACAAATTAATCTGTAGCATTAACTATTACTGTCTATAGCAAAAAGATTTCACCAGGACTCTTCTGCAGAACACTTCTCTTATCTGTGCTGAAAACTATTGCTTGTCATTGAGTAACCTTTTGTTCCCTTAACATCCAAAAGGGGCTGGATCACAATTTTAATCAAAGTGTTGCTGTTCTCATTTTTAGTTTTGTGACAATGGCAGGCATTTAAGTGAGGATTCTGAAATCCTAAAGCTTTCTCTGTTGTTGCTTTGTGACACTGCTGGTAGAGGGAGAATGAAATGTCACACAGGGGTGCACGTTTCCTCCCAGCTGGTGTTCCAGCATCGTTCCATGCAACAGCTGCCACTCAGGTCTGTGGTCTTTAGCAGAAGGGTGTGAGCAAACTCTGCTCATGTTCTCAGCTACCCAAAAGCTGTGTTAGCACAGCGTTGTGCCCAAGCTAATGTCTCCTGTCTCTCAGCAGGATGTACAGCTCAGGCTTTGCCCTATCAAGAGATTTATCATTTTCACTCATCTCAGAGCAGCCCATGTCTGTGAAATACCACATAAACAATCTCTTAGCTTGAGTAGCTGTAAGTGCAGTCAAAAGTCCTGTGTTACCAGGCAAAACTCTTCCTTGACTGCAATAGCAAGCTTGTTTCTGGAAAGAAGCTGGGACCTGTTTTGTGAAGTCTAAAAATTTTCCCTCAGAGGAAAATGTTATAAAAGTCTTTCTTACTTGAATATATTTTATACGAGAAGACCTTTTGTTCTTTCAACTTGCTTTCTTTTTATAAGCTTCCTATATTCTCATATGTCCTTGCCCTAATTTATTTGCAAGGTCTTTTTGAGTCCAGAGTGGCAGAAGCTCCAGTCCAGCATTCCCTAAGGAGCCCTTCCCTGGGAACCAGTGCTTTGGTTCCTTTCAGGCGCCAAAGCTTCTTTGACCAAGTGAATCAATCACTAGAGAAAGACAGCCTGACCATCAGATCAGCTCTACGTGTACAGAGACCACACAGTACCACCAATGTGCTGGCTAGGAGATCCACAAAACTTCTAAGCCTTCTAAAACACAAAAGCATTACAGTAAGTATTTGGTCCAAGCCAGATTTAGCTCTCTCAGAATCAGGAGATTTGTTTAGGTCGTGTGAGAATGTTCTTTCCTTTGATCTCCTGCAAAGGTTTTTGCTGCAACAAAAATTATGCCTATGTAGAATAATGGTTATGCATAAATAGAATCTTAAGGATTCCACTTGGGAATCCATGTTGTACAGGGCAGGGCACTTCTGGTATTTTTACTCAGCACTTTTGACAGAGGTTTTTTTATTTTAGATCTAATCTTTTCTAAATAAAACTCTCTGCCAGCTCTACTAGACAGCAAAAATCTTATTCCTCTTTTACAGATACTGAAACCAAAAAAGAGAAAGTCTGGATAGTCAGCTGAATCCCACAGCAGAGAGTGCATGTCAGGGCTGAGGTGCAACTTTGTCTCCTAAACCTTAGGCCGGTACTTTACCTGTTGGAAAACACCATTTTTTCACCTCCCACCTATAAAACACCTTTGATTCTCTCTTTGATCTCTCCCTCTGTATGTCATTAAACACAAACACCCACAAGGTACATTTTTTTGCAAGGAATAGCAATACACTGGAGAACAAAGCTGTTTACAGCCCCTGGGAAGCCATACAGATCAATGTGTTAAGAGAAACCCATCCAAATGCTACGTGAGACTGGCAGGACCTTATTTGAAGGTCCTGTAGTGTTTTGTAGCTTGTGATATTAGAGTTGTCCACAGGAAAGAACTGGAGAGGTGGCATTGTGTTTGCAGAGGAACAGCTAACAGCAGGAACATGCTAACTGCAGCTGGGAATAGGAGGAAGGAGAGGAAAATATTCTGTGGAAATTCTGTTCCAGCCCTAAACAGCTCTAGAAATGTAAACTTGAATGCATGTCTGAAGTTTTGGTGGTGTTTCCTTGCTCCTTCCCTCATACAGGGCACTGTAGGGAGTACAAAAGAAAGAAACAGTTCACTCTGGCTATGAAAAGGAGCCTTGTAGGTGCTCCTTCATATCCTTGCACAGCACAGTGCATTTAAAACCACAAATTAGCAGCATTGCCCAGCATTGTAATGCAGCCACTAGTGAAGAACACATCAAGACTGCTTGAGCATAAGTAGAAATCTCAGACAACAGGTGAAGAGTTGCTACACCTGCAGAGAACTCTGGGAATATTTTGTGTTTGGCCAGAGGGGGGCAGGTATTTCTCTTTCTGATAAAATCTAATGAGGAATATGTAATGTGATTTGTGGTCAGAACCTGGGTTTTCCATCCAAACACAAAGACTGGGCAGTTTTAAGCATTGGCTCAACACCAGAACATTGGATTTTCAGGTGCCCCTTGGTTGGTTAAACCTAATGTTTTCTATAGGTTTTAGCATCATCCTCAGTGTGTTCATGGGTGGGGAGCAACTTCAGTATTCATGAGCCAGTGTAGCTTCCAGACCTCAAGAGTGACATAAGAACTAAGCTGTTCTGGTTTTGTGTGTTTACAGTTTGCATTAGAAAAATACACTGATGGGATTAAGGGTTCAGTTTGGCTTTTTTCCTCTTAGAAATCAATCCTTAATGGTGCATCTCAGGAGAGATGGAAAGAGATGGGCTTCGACAGAGCCAAGACTGAGCACAAAAGGAGGAAAGAGGAACAGAGGCAGCTGAAGAGGGAGCAGCAGCAAGAGGCAGATGGCATCCAGCACCAGCTGCACAAGGACAACCAGAGGTGATGCCTGGGAACTTACTGCTTTTTGTGGTAAATGTTGGAAGGTTGGTAACATCTGTTCCTTGGTGCTCTCCTTCAGTTTCTGAACATCACACATTGTGCTTCATGACAGACTCTGCAGAGGGGTCACAGTGGTTCCCTAGTGGGAATAAAAGTTGATTCTTGAGGTTTGTGGGAGCGGGTACACGTGGACCCCGTAGCCTTTAGCGTTACCTCCAAGGGCAAATTCCCCTTGATCTTGTTCTCAGACAAAAGATCCTTTGGCCTCTCAAATCCTTGCTCTCTGGCCCACAGTCCACTTCAGCTGAGCAGGACCTTGCATTACCCCCATGACCCACTTCTTGCCTTCTCCCCTGTTGCCTCAGTGGCTCCACCAGCAGCACACAGCCACCCAGTTGTCTGGATCAGTCCTACAGCCCTGTCTGCACAATCTGTTTCCTTGATTCCTGGTCTTCAGGGCCAACAACACTTGGCCACACCAGGTTTATGTAGTCAGGTGGACAGATGACTGCAGTTAGCTGACATCAGGTACCAGCCCATTTGGGAGTTTTGCTACCTCTGTTTTGGACACAGGTTTAACCCTCATAACCTAACAAAGGGCCCTGGAATATTAACTAAGCACACATTGCCAGAATATCTGCTTTGTGTCTCATGCACTGTCTTTTTTATTGCTCTTTCTTTATGAGAAATTCGAGAAATTTTGTTTTGGAAACAGGCAACAGTTGCGTCAGAGAACATTGCAAGGGCTGGAGAAACAGCTGGAGCACAAAGAGAGAGCTTTGCAGCACATGGCACTGCTCCAGGCTGCTGGGGCTGAGAGGAGCAGGAAGGAATCCTCCTTTCAAGAGGAGGGGAAGAGGAAGGCAAGTCAGAGGCTTCAGTTCTTAAAGACACAGAGTTCACAGAGAGAGGAGTTGCAGGCAGAATGCAATGAAAGGAGCTTTGAACAAGAGAAAGAAAGGCTGGTAAGGGTAATTCCAGAAATTATTTTCCCTTGTACTGTGTTTCCAGCAGTGGCACTATCTGGAGTATTTGTCTTTCTCCTGTTTTATATCCAATAAAACTATATTTAGGGATTTAAAAAAGGGTAACATTTTTTTGACGTGTATAAAGATGAAAGATGGGAAGTAACATTCTCCATCTCTGCCATAAAAGGAGTCTTTCTGCATGCAAGGAATGAATATCCATATATTATACCCCTTTCTGACTTCTACCATAGAATCATAGAGCTGTAGTATGATTAGGGACCTTGAAAGTCATCTAGTTCCAAACCCCTTACCATGGGCAGGGACATCTTCCACTAGACCAGACTGCTCAGAACCCTCTCCAACCTGGCCTTGAACACTGTCAGGGATGGGGCATCCACAACTTTTCTGGGCAACCTGTTCCAGTGCCTCACCACCCTCACAGTAAAGAATTTCTTCCTCATATCTAATGTAAACTTACTCTCAGTTTAAAGCCACTCCCCCTTGTCCTATTACTACCAGCCCTTGTGAAAAGTCCCTCTCCAGCTCTCTTGTAGCCCCTTCAGGCACTGGAAGGTGCTCTAAGATCTCCCCAGGGCCTTCTCTTCTCCAGACTGAAAAACCCCAATTCTCTCAGCCTGTCTCCATAGCAGAGGTGCTCCTGCTCTCTGGGCATCTTTGTCACCCTCCTCTGGATTTTGCTCCAGGAGGTCCCTGTCCTTCTTATGCTGGGGGGCCCAGAGCTGGACACAGATGAAAACTGAGGATGAAATTTGGCGTGAAAGCTGACTGTACAATTGTAAATATCTTTATGTAGGAGTTTCTGAGGAGTTTCTGCAGTCACAGCAGGAAATGTTGGAACAAGAACCACGGGAGCAGGACGAGCAACAAAACCAGCACCAGGCTGCCAAAGTGAGAGTGTTCCAGAGCGGAGACCGAAGATCGGAAGATGGAAAAAGAAGACCAAAAAATCCGTGACCTCCAGCAGTACCTCGGAGAACAGTCCCCTTTGCTGCTTCGGGCATCCCTGCTAGTGTAAGGAAGCTGCAGAGTAGGGGAGAGGCCCTCAAGCAGTTCACACACCTGGTCTTTGTCTTGTAGGTGTGACTCAGTGTGACTCAGTGTGCTACAGTTGTGACAAGTGGAATTACAATTCCCGGAGAGGTCTTTAATCTCCCTTTCATTGCAGCCAGAGTGCATGTCCACTGCTCTGTGCTTTACATGCCTTTCTTTCTGGAGTTACTATTCTGGTTCACCAGCCTGGGCTTCAGGTAAGTACAGATCTTCTACTGTCAGGGTGTAGGTACTGCTTGAGATGTGCTGGCCACTCCTTTAGAGGAGGAATGACTTTTAGAAGCCCAAAATACAAAGTGGTGTGGGGGTTTTTGTTTGGTTGGTTTTTCTTTGGTTTTTTTAATGACAAGCTCCCCTTTCTAGGCACTGTGATGACAAAAAGGTCTGATCTGTGAAATAACTGTCTTTGGAGAGTCACCAAACCCAGCGGTGGGCTTGGGTTTCTGTTTGGCCTACAGTCTCACTGGCAGGCTGGCAGTCTCCAAAGTGGGTCAGAAAGATGCTCGGATACCTTTTCAGGTATTGTATTGCTTACAATAACCACACCTTTTGCTCTTTGTGAATAAATGAGGAGAATGTTACAAAGACAAATGAACTGGTAAATTGATGGTTAACAAAATACAGTGGCTGTGTCACAGGGAATGCTATTATCAGCTCTGGGTAACCAGAAACGTACCTGTCCCTTTCAGACGGGTATTTAGGGAAGGAGAATGGATGTGGGTATTTAGGGAAGGAGAATGGACGTGGCACAGTTTATTTGCTGGAACACTAAGGGCTATGTGGAAGTATGTTCTTATCTTACACAGAATTATGCTAAAATAAATACAATATATGTGATACCTTGTTTCGAGTAATGCCTGGAACCAAACTAGATACAAAATTTAAATGTTGTTGCCTGACATTCTGTGTACACTTAGAAACACGTTGCACATTTTGTGGCACACTGCTCAACAAAAAGTGTGAGTATAAAAATGTATGTCTTTTGCAAGAATACAGCACAAGTGATAATGGCAGTTACTTAAGGGAAAAAAAAAAGGTAAAATTAAGAAAACTTGTAAAAGGGAGCTCCTTTGAAATCCTGCCAGCAGTTTCTTAGCAGTAAGTCTCAGACTGCATTCCTCTATGGATAATGGAGAGGCTGTGCCTTCAGCTTTCTCTTAAAAAGACAAAGTTAAGTCTCTCATCCAGATGTTTACAAACTATTCAGAAGCCTTAATAGCTGAAAGGGGTATTTTTAAACTTTAGGATCCATAATATGCATAAGCCATCCTCAGATTTTTGGGTATTTTTTAAAAAAAGGGGAAAGGAAGAATGAGCCTACATACCAGGTGAAGGCTTTGACATTTTGTTTGTTTAACTTAAATTCTGGAAAAAAAATATAACTGCTTGTTATGGAAACTGCATGTGATGCACAGTTTTGCATTTTAGACATGGAATTCCGTCATTTGGCTTACACTCTGTTTAGGCTCTGGAAAAGTTGGCTGGAAGTTGCTCAGCAGGAACAGGGGTGGTTGTGCCCAAGACCTGCATAACTTATGGATGAGGCCCAGGCTGTGCCTGGCACCTCTATCCTGAGCTGGGTGGAAAGGGAAGAGGGCACATGCCCCACTGATGGAAAGTGGGTGCTGGCAGCACGTGGAGATTTTCTTTAATGTATTGCTTTGGGGTTGCTTGCTTTTCTTCTTGTTTGAGTTCTCTTCTACATAAAATCATGTGCTAGTCAGGACAATGGTGTGCCTACTTATGACTTTAGGTCTAACTAGACTTAGACAAACAAGTCTAAAGCTTAAAAGATACTAAACTCTACTGCTGTTTCTATCCTTAAGCACTTGGAAATAGAATATGCAGTGTTTAAAGGAAAGTACGTGAAATATATTGAGCTGAACCTAAACTTATTTTTCAGACTTCATTTATGTGCCATTAACCTTTACTTTATAATCACCATAAAACAGCAGATTGTCTGCTTATGTACTTTCTCTTCATTGCTTAACTATCTGAGAACAGACCACTGCAGAGAGCCTGCACTACTGCTATTTCACATATGGTATATCTGGGAATATATTTAATATCACAGTATTTCCAATCATTCATAGACTGTATTTCTCACTATTAAAATGCAGCCATAAAATAATTTTAATACTACTATTAAAATAACTGACTGTAAATGCCACATATAATCTAGCTCTTTTGCTGGCTTTATTTAATTTTAAACATTCACAACATGTTTTTGATTCATTAGGAAAGTTCTTGGACTTTTTGTTTTGCAGCTACTGGAAGCAAACCCCAAGAATCTGCATATCAGTTAAGTCTTTGAGTTAAATAGGGTGACACTAGCATGGGGGAGGGTACTAGAAGGAAGCACACAGAGGGGAAAAAAAAGACTTTTAAGCCTCAAAACCAGAAAAATTAAGAGCAGCACAAATATTCCCAGAAGTTGTTTTTTATTATGGAATTAGGTTTTTCTGCCTAGGCAAATATTTTATTATGCTGTTTATAATCAAACTCCCATAATAATGTGCTGGAGTACAGAAGTTTGAAAACAACAAAAAAAAATCAAAATGGCTGGTCTGTTTTTATCATCCAAAATGACTAAGAACAGACCACTACATGCAGGATCTTGGGACACTTCTGCAATAAAAGCAGAAGTTAAAAGTACAAAAGACAAAGAGGTTTATTGGCTTTTTCAGCCTGTGTTGCTTAGGTGATGTTAGAACATCATTTCTTATACCACAGTGACAGGTAAGTCAGTAAATTAAATATTAAACCTGATAGATTTCAAAACAGACTTGATGAATGAGCATCTCTTTGAAGACTTTTAGACAAGTAGAACTGCTTTTCTCATCAGGCTGCAGTCGTCTTGTGCACCTAAGCTACGTATGTCAGTTTTAAAACTACCAGAGCACATTAGCTCTTAAAATTGTGCAATGAGTCAGAAATGTCCAATTGTGCAAAGTCTTCTGGTTTCTGGAACAGACCTTCTGATCATCCCACACCTGGTGCTCGGCTGAAACGACTGAAGGCAACATTAATGGAGAGTACCCATTGCACAGCATGTCCCCAGGGCACACGTGACTTCACCTTCAGCTTCCCTCCTGTTGGCTCACAGACAGCACAGGTAACCCCACACAGGGAGAGGGCAGCAGCCACAGGAGTCTATTTGAGGACAGAAGCAGCAGTTTTGATGAGCAGTGGTTTAGCTGCCTCTAGGATGTCCAGTTCAGGGTCCAGTGAACGACCTAGTCCCTCCAGAACCATGATGGCAAAGATGATGGAAGCAAAATTGCTCTCGAGCTTCACCTAGAACCACAAGAGACTAAATGGGCACAGTGGACCTTATTTTCTTCTGTACCCATTCAACCAAGGTCCCAGCTCTGGGTAAGCTGAGAGGGAAGGGAAGAGGCTGCTGAGAGCACTTGCACACCTGAAACTAATGCAACTCCACCAGCTGGAGTTTCAGAATTCACTGAAATCCAGCAGCAGGCCCAAACATAAGGGGACAGTTTTAGGGTGAGTGCACTAAGGGAATCCAAGAGTTTGTTTTTCGTACAAAAAGGGGAATGGATTTTTTTTTTTTCTTCTATACAAGAATAGCAGGATCTTAGAAGTGCTCACCATGGCTGCAGTAGTATCCAACATACTTGAACATATGCACTTGTGTAAGAGGGAGCTCACCTGAATGGCCATAAAAGACCCCACAGGTCAGAAGAAATGATTCTCTGCTCTGTATGTGAAGAAAATACTCCCCATTTCCCAGCCAGGTACCAGGATTGTTTCAAGGCGTACCAGGGCACTAAGAATTCATGAAGTTGGGAGGACTTGCTTTGTAAGGGCCTAAATTACATTTCATTTCACTAGAAACCTACTTAATGAGGCTTAATGACAAAAAACTCTAAGAAAGGAATGTTTAGAGGGACCCTTTGCACAGTGAGCAAAGTGGCTGACAACCTTTTCATCCCCTCTAGTTCAGGCCACTACAGCTCTGTTGATTTCCAAAGCAACATGTTTGCAGCTGTGGAAACTTGTTCCCCAAATAATCAGTTATCTGTTATCTCTGTCCTGTGAGAAACTTCTCACCTTTGATCCCTCTAACAAACCAGTAAAATGGCTTGGTGCTTTTATATAACACCATATCAAGAAAGAGGTCCAGAGAAGAAAGCATGCAATGCTATAGAAGTGGAATATGTATGAGATTTCATTTTCTGCTTCTAAGAGACTACAAAAAGAGATAGGAAAAACTATGTGTTACAAAAGTATTCCTCTTAGTAAACACCATCAGCCATTAAATGCAGTATTTAGACCAAGAAAACCCAACAAAAAAGACATACCTGGAAACATGCAGCAAGCCTGCAACACTTGGTTACATTCCTGCAGTTCCTCTCCTAGCAGTTCATTTTGGAAGTCAGTCCCCCTCCTTGTTAGCCCTTCATGTTCCTGGTAGTTCTCCCTCCCCAAATAAACTTCCAGTTACTGAAGGCAGACAGTGACAGGACCTCACCTTATGGGTCATCAATAGTTTGAAGACATTTGAGAGGAGATTTCCCACCTGCAGCTGGAATACAAAAAGAAGCAAACAACTGATCAAAAAAGCCCTTTTGTTTCAGTTTTCAGTGCCAAGCTGCACTGAATTGCAGGTAAGTGAGAATGAGACACGGTGCACTTGCCTTCCCCAGGGCAATGGTGTTCCCCCGGACTTTGGTCACTAGTTCTGCCATCTCAGCCTTGAACCGCTCGATGTCCTGGCACTGGTTGGCGCGGGCGTGGTGGAGGATCAGCTCTGCCACTCTCTCCCCCTGAGGAACAAGTTGGAGAGGAGAATCAGGACTTGATCGCTGGTGACTTGCAACTAACTGTTTGCAGTTCTTGCTTAGTAGCTGAGAACTACATCTGGCAGCACAGGATGAGCCTGAACACATGGTTTAGCATGGATTCCTTGGCTTGCTTCGGCAGATTAAACAGAGCAAGACAAAATGTGTCCCTCTTGAGATATGCTGGTGAGCCATTCAACCTGCAGCTGTGAAACAGCAACAGGCAAGTATGAGCACAGATGCTTGTTCTCAGAATGAATAGGAGACATTAGCACTAGACTCTCTAGCACATCTGAAAATGTATTTCAAGTGAGAAGGAGGATAAAGTAGTTCTCCTTATACACAGGAGCCTGCCCTCTGAGTCAGACCCTCTACCTGTTTTACATGCTCTTCACTACAGATGCTGACACACTACAGCAAAATGGAAGAAGGCACGTGGGCTTTCCAGCAGCAAGGCTGCAGAAGGGAACATGTGGAAGATCAAGACATTAATCCATTCCCTCCTCTTCTCTAGCAAAAGCTGATAAGATTCTGCAACAGTCTCCAATGCAAGTGGCTCCCAGGCAGTCCTAACTTGCAGCAGAAGCACTCCTAACCAGGGAGTGGCAGCCATACTTCCCACTTAGCACCTTCTGTTTCCTGGGCCACTGAAATTGTTCCACTCTGGCAGCGTCCTTGCTGTAGCAGACCGTCTAAGCCCTGTGTTTG